ATATATATAAGCTCCTATATATAATTTTTTAAAAGATAAATTACTCAAAAGAAAATCGGGCAAAGGTCGTAAGAAGTAAGTTCTTAGAAAACATAATCCAAATGTTCCTATATGCATTCAAAAATGTGTAACCTCATTTAAAATCAGTGAAATGTTATTTTCACCATTTTGTTCTTGGCATACAATGTTTTCTTATGCTTAGCTCAGTAATTAAGTAATTCAAGAACCCAATCTAGTTTGTTATATAACATGAATCTTCAGGTTGTGTTTAATGAACTTGTTATTTTATGGTTTTTGTTTAGCTTGCTACCTGTAATAAGCAGGTTGGATGCAGTGTAAGTTTTGGAGATTTTTTTTTTTTTAGGAAGGAAACTAATCTCATATGTTTCCAAATGCAGGACTGTGTGTGTGTTTCTGTATGATTTTTAGCATAATTATTTGCTTCTTATCCTCACATTGAGATTTTAGAATATACATTTTTAGTTCAAATGTCATTATGTTTTCCCTCTTTTTAAGACTTGTGGTAATATGCAAGGAGCAATGTTGGGGGGTGGTTAATTGGCAGAAGATGGAAGAAAACACAGGTAAGGAAGGGAAGAAGCATAAAGTAGAAAATGGAACTGGCAGTTCTCTGTCCTGTCTCAAACATGCCCCTGATTCTCCATGGTTGTGGATGCCTACAGCTTGTACCTCACTACCAACATGGAGAATTCCCTCTCCCTTTTCTGACTAGGGCTGCATCCCTCAGCAGTCCATAGGGAAGCTTGGCACCCCAGGTATGTCATATCTTACTGCGGAGACAAAACAGGACACACTTTTGTATTTCCTGGGCCCAGAAATCTCAGCTGTTTAAACTCCTAGGTGGGCAATTTGGAATGATTCTACTTTTGATACGTAAACTAATGGCAAAAATAATGTGAATTTCTACAATGTTATCTTAGAATATCTTTTTTTTAGCATTAGCGTTTTCAGAGAAGGAAAATATTATTTACCTTGTTTCTCTGATTACTACAATGGAAGTGTCTCTTGACTCTAACAGGTGTCCTGAGAAACATATCAACATGCACAATTTAGTGCAGCACATATTTTAGAATAATATACATTATTTTTTGGTCACATTCTGTCATTTTGCCCAACTGAATATTTTCTTCTTTAAAAAACAACCAATAGATCTTCCCATTTCTGAGTGTGAGAGAGTGTGTGTGTGTGTGTGTGTGTGTGTGTGTGTGTGTGCGCGCGCGCGCGCGTGCAAACAAGATTTGGACAGAATTGTGGGTGTGTGTGACATTTGAAAAAAAAAATCAGTCTATGAAAAACCTCCACAAGGCTGAGAAAAAAAATCAGCATAATGATGCTGTGAAGTTTCCATTCATCCTTGTAAAAATTAAATGAGACACTATATAATACTTGGTACAATGCCTGCCATGAGGAAGGAGCTCTGTATAGATTATTAAGATTATGAAAAGAATATCAAAATGTGAAGATACTATTATTATTCCCATTTTATAGCTACTAAGTGGCTGATAGAGCCTTTGTTCAAACTATATTTTCCAGATAATGAATCCACTGAAATTGCTCAGGGTATGGAACTGCTGAAATGTGTAATAAGATGAGAGATTAGGTTGCCTATAAAATGTAATTCCACAATGTAGTAAGAAAGGAAGAAATATAGCAAGAAATGGAAGATGATCAGTATAGTACTATACAGCAACAAAGGTGGAGAAAAACAGTTCTTGATAGTTAATGTTTTTCTCAAAAGAGTAATATTTTGGACCAGGCTCGTAGGCTCAGCCTGTAATCCCGCACTTTGGGAGGCTGAGGTGAGTGAACTGCGTGAGCCCGAGGGTTCAAGACCCACCTGGGCAACTTGGCGAGACCTTATCTCTACAATAAATGAAAAAAATTAGCCGGGCGTGGTAGCGTGCGCCTGTAGTTCAAGCTACTTGGAAGGCTGAGGTGGAAGGGTCGCCGGAGCCTGGTGGGTCGAGGCTGTGGTGGCCGGGAGCAGCCACTGCACTCGTCTGAGTGACAGAGTGGGACTCCAACTGAAAAAAAAAAAAAAAAAGAGTAATATTTCATAATTGATTTTGAAATCTTTCTTCCAGGCTATCTCCAAACAATTTTTAGAATGGCTAAGATTTATGGGTGTTCCCTCACTTACGTGTAAGAAATAAACAAGGAATTCTGGTTTATGAATTTTGTTGGTAAACTGTTTTATTCAAGGGCACAAAGTTGAAAGAATAGGATTCATTTGGGGTGTTCCCTTATTTCTGGCAGGAATCTGACTAAACAATTCTTGAACTGGTTATAAATTCAAAATAAAAAATCTGTAGGAAAGAAATGCCACAACTTTCATTTGTATTAATTTAGTTTGGGTTTCATAACTCTGGCTGTTGGGAAAATGTTCAATTCTCTTAAGGATATAGGCTTCCAACCCAGTGGGTATCATTAACTTTATCAAGACAAACACCAGTTAAATGCAAGAAATAGCCTAAAGAGTAGAGACCTTATTAATCTTCAAATCTTATAGATAATACTTGCATAGGACATTACAGAGAGTAGATGCCAAGTAAATGTTTAATAAACTAGATTGAACTGAAAAGCAGTGGAAAAGGTGTTGGATTAGCACAGAAAAGCAGGGAAAAAGGTGTTGGATTAGCACATTTACTTGAGGCTTCAATGCTGTGTCTTTTTTCTCATTTGCTGACATTAACACTTGGATCCCATTTAAAAAATAAATAAATAAAAATGTCTTTGTAGAACAAGAAAAATGCTGGCTTTTTATAAAGATCATTCAACAATTCATTCAATAAATATTTATGGCACGCTATGTGTCAAGCACTGTCCAGGCTCTGAATATGTACGCTACTACGTTTTAAATAACAAAGGTAATCACAAGAACCCCAATTGATTCTATGTAAACTAATGAAAGGTTCTTGATATGAGAGTTTTAAGGGCTCAAAGAGTTTGCTGTGAACCCTTCACTGAATGTGGTCACATTCCCTAACAATTCTAATCATATAATACCAGGTTCATTTAGGAAATCAGTAGGTAACCTGCACTTCCCCATCCAGAACCTTAAAGTTAGGGAGTTAAGAAAGCTCCTGTGGTTGCTAGAAAGAATTAAAGACTGGGAATTAAAAAATGGGGCTCTGAAATGGTGTCATCTCTGTTAAGTCATGTAATTTACATAATATTTTCCTACCTGTAAAATAAAATTAATTAGAAAAATGTTGAAGCTTCTTTTATGCCTGATATTCTATAATCTTAAATTAACAAATCTAATTTAGACTAAATTCTAGGAAGAAGATAAACTCTACATCATGAGTTTTGGCTCAATTCCTATCAATGCTGCAAAAATTTTCCTTCACTGTGTTGTGACATCAAAAGAACAATATAAATAAGTAAATATGTGTGTAATTATTTTAAAAGTGGTCCATTTTTACATGTGATTCAATTCTTCAGTGCTTTGCCAAGTAATACTTGAAAATTTAGCTACAACATGTATTTCTTCACTTCCCTTTCTAAATTTTCATATCAGATGGCAGAAGGACTGAAAAAAAATGAAGTTGTTGGTTAGTGCAAATTTACGTTATCGCCAAAACTTAACTTTTAAAGTTAAGTTTTCAAGTTTCGAATCTGAATACTTGTAACTAGAGTTTACACGCTCCTCTGGCTAACGCTGGACATGAAGAAAGACAGCAAACTATGGGGAAAGAGATTTAGTTTAAATCTTAGGGAAAAAAATAAGAGACCAAAATTTAGATAAAAAGAATACTGCCATTAAAAAAAAGAGAGAGCGCTAAAACTGGCGATAACATTGAAGATTAGGACACCTGCCAAGCTCGAGTCAATAGGTGATTTCAGATCTTGGAAGCACAGGAGGCCCAAGTTCTTGCTGTGGGAAGGACTAGTAGAATGATAAGGCGGTTCTACTTATGTTTTAGTGGTTTTAACAATATTCTGCAAGTAAGTGACCTATCTGGGTTACCAGGTCACTTGAGTCACTAAGAATAAAAACCTGCAAATTCATACATCTCAATGTCGAGGGATGTACACTTTTTACAAAAAGTTATACGTAAACACCTTTACCAAAAGTATTTCATTCGTAGACAAAGATCTGAACGGTCACAGCATCCACTTCACCGACTTCAGCAGTCCCTGGAAGGGTCAGGCCTGTCCTCCCAGCGCAGGTGCCCGCACCGCCCCGCTCCCAGCACACCCAGCCACGCTCGGCACTAAGGCTCCAGTCTCCCACGGCGCGCGCCCAGGCCCGGGGGCGGGGGCCGTGGGGGCGGTTCCCTCGGAGCACCCAATCAGCAGCGAGGTCCGGCGGTGGCGCCAGTGACGTAGGCCGCGCTTACCCCCGCCCCACTGCGGGCCGACGCTTGGCGCCGTCAGCCCCGCGAGCTCGAGCGCGAAGGGAGGGGGAGGAGGGCTTTGGGGCCGACTGGC